TGAAACAGAACAGGATTTTATCAACCTTATGGTCCTATTTCTCAATGAGAGTTACCTTTCACAAAGAACACAAGCATGAATGAACGCGAAAGAAGTGTATCCATTGTGAATCAAGTCACGAAAAGTTCAAGAATCGGCAACAGGCCATGGGCCTATTTCTTCAACGCCGACACTTCTGTTCTATTCTATTGTATTCTATTCTATGATTGATTACAAATATTTTATGTCGGCTCTTGCGGGAGAGCGATGGCGCTGGCAGCACAGAGCGCTGCTGTGTTGGTTGCCAAGCGCCTCCTGTGTGGACTCGAGCGCTCAGACGTGAGAAAATCTTACCGAGCTGGTGTCGGATTCTCTAAAATTCAGAGGTGATCATAACTGTCCGTTTTGCGTATAGTTCTGGTACTTTTTATGTTGCTTTAAAATGCGTAAACTTTGTATTAATAATTATTATGACAGCAGGGAAGCTATTTTCCCGAACATGGCCGGGTTTGCCTGCTGGCCACTAATAATTTTGAACTATTTAGTGTTAATATATTATATCATCGATGCAACGATAGTTGTAAACTCATTCAGAATCTATAAATTTATCATTTATAAATATTTTTAATTATATATAAATTCAGTCAGAATATATATGAATTCAATCTACCGGATGAAACTACAAAAAATACTGCTGTAGCATATGACGCGGCCACTCGGAGCGGTTTGTAAACAGCTTCAGATTGTCGTATCTGAGGCATGAAAGAACCGCCTGTTGTACGTGGTGTTCGGGAGAGTCGGTAGCTGGTCTGTCATCTCTACAGCGGCACTGTAACTTTATCTGTATCGCTTCTTCAAACGAAGCGCACTGTGACCAAGATTTTTGAGCTACTAGATCATTTTGTATATTGTTTATTATTAGTTGTACTTATTAATTATTGCTATGTGAGGTACGATTGATTAAATTTATCCATGGAAGCTGAGTCTGTATTTTGACATACGAAGCATTAGCTCTTCTGGCCCTAATTGTGTACCAATATTACACTCCTGCACATCATGCCAACCGTCAGTGGATCGATTAGCTTATAGGCAGCCATCACACTTCAGGACCTTCAGGCAGTTGCTTCTTTTATGAGCTCGAGTCTTTTGCTATCTATACATGCGTGATAATCCTGTGGCACACTGCCCTGATTTAAGGAGCAGCTGAAGCGTCAATAGTTATTTTCCTTTCAACATGACGTACCTAATGCCCTCAATAACGGAATTATGCAGAAAAATCGCAAAGTACTTGAGTTTAGAGATCAGTAAGTATTCATTCCTTCGGAAAGACACAATAGTTTACGTTTTCCTAGTCAAGGCACTTTAATTTCACCGAAGGTTGCGATTCAACCGGAGGCCCATTTAATAATAATATAATTAACAAGCACCTGCTGGTCCGAGACTTTGAAAGCGTTTGCCTGAAGAACATTGCTATATAAGGCACGAGTCTCGTATCAACCTTATGGTCCTATTTCTCAGTAAGAGTTACCTTTCACAAAGAACACACGCATGAATGAACGCGAAAGAAGTGTATCCATTGTGAATCAAGTCACGAAAAGTTCCAAGTTATCTGCAGAGCATCAATCAGCTAGAGAATCAGTGTGGTGTGAACTTACTCTAAAAGGCAAAGATAGCCTTCTCATAGGGGTCATTTACAGATCACCTAACAGCACCTCTGATAACAATAAAGTACTAAACAGCCTTTTACCGAGCATGTCATTCAGCAGGTCGCATAAAGATTTGAAATGCCTAGCTCCTTATCGAACCCGGTGGAAGTCTAGTAGCTTCTTCAAACTATCGCCAGTCATGAAAAGATCCGGTCAAATGACACGAGTTAAGATCTATGAACAAGGCACGAAATGGAAAAGAATCGGCGACAGGCCACATCAGGCCTACACTTCAGAGCCGACATCACTATGTTATGTTATGTTATAAGGTGCGAAGGGATATACATGCTTCTGGTGTTGCCAACGGCTATACAAGAGCTTTAGTTCAAGGTTGCCTTAGCTTGTTCGTTTCACGGCCTCCTTCCACCAACTTTGAGGCTGATTCATTTCGTGAAGAGCTTCTTAAAAAGCCGTGAGTAAATCGTTGTTTAGTGTCGTCACAGTAAGAATTATCTTGTGTAGAAGGGGCAGCGTAGCCAAAGTAAAAATTAAACTTTGTAGAAGGGTTAGCTGAAATCAGTTTTTATGTAGATTCAAGTTTGTTATGTTTTTAGGACCTTTTCGGCTTTGAAAACTGACCCTTCTCTGATTGTTGAAAGCTTATGAGATCTATTGCAAACTTTTTGCACATGAGCTGACATAATTATCTGCTCAAGTAAATTTATTGCTGATATAATTTTGAACAGCACTTTAATGACAACATCTTTTAACACAATCTTCGTGTGAGAGCGAGCTCGCTTTCCTCATGACACGGTGAGAGAAAAGCCTCCGTGCTAATGAGTGTGCGTAGGCAAGACACATCGCACCACGTCTTCGCCACAAAAGGACGGACGCTGAAGTTTGTAATCGAAGTTGTGCTGTGTAGCGGCTTTTGGCAAGCGTCGCGGGGTTATAGCGCTACATGGAAACTCCCTTCGTGCGGATTACCTCCTGGAATGCCGCGCCCGTTGCTCCTTTTGAAGAAGGCAATTTCATTTGTCGTAAGATTCCTGCGAGATCTTCTTTGTTGGTAATTTTACTGTAAGGCATCTGATGATTCGGATGAAGGAAGTCTTGCGGGAAGTGTTTGAAAGATAAGATGCTTAATATAATTTCTGCGTGTAACAGTAGTAATAAAAGACGTTATGTGATAAATTAGATCTGTTTTTAAAATAAACCTTCTTAATCATAGAATATCGTTTCGAAATTTATTCGCATTATAACTCGTCGTTATGCTGGGAACCTCTAGCATGATTTAATCTAATATATTTAGTTTTCTAAGTGATTTTTCTCAAGATCGAAGAGAAATGAGTTCCCTTCTATAATTGATATGAGCATTCATCGCTATTTCTGTTCAATCCTCTTCATTAAATTGCCATACACGAACAGCTGGGGATGTAGCATTATATTTGAGTTTCTGCTCACGAATAAATATCCCCTGTGTTCGTTTTATCGACGCTGTCTTCCTCTTCCTGGGTCGTGGAATGGCGGTTTTCTACGCGTAACAAAAACTGATAACCAGGCAACTCACGAGAGACATGCCAAGGTTACGCGACCTGCGATCCTTCACGTCGTGACTTCGTCGCGCACAGCCACGATTTTTAGCGCATTTTCTCGATCATTTATGGAAAAAAGGCGCTATTGTGCTCGCCATGTCCGTCTGTCCGTCCGTAACTCCACGTTTTCGTCGACGAGAAAATGCGTTTTCTGTCACTCACTGCAGTGAGTACTGATCGTTACATTTTTCGGTGATATTCCTCCTCCACGCTCACCTGGAACTTTGTCAACTTATTAAGTTATGTCGTTTTAGCACAAATGCCTCCTTAGGTTTATCTTCAATTAACATCCTTTTACTATCATACGTTTTCCTTTAATTTCAAAGGTCTTGATTTTATTTGGTCGATATCATCCTGAATATTTGTTTGAAGTATCGTGATATTTTCCTGCTAACACAAAGAACGAGAACCAGAACCTGCAGATGCCTTTACTGGGGATTTCTTTAGGTTCTTTTCTTGCATACATCCGCAATGCTATTTATAATGAGTACCTTTCGTGCGGTGACGAATGTATTTGTATAAATTCCTTTTACTTCGCGTTGCAAAGAATAGAGTACACACGTATTGTTTTCCGTTGTTGATGAAATGTAATCCTAACATTAAAAACATGTATTGCGCGGTCTTAAATTCAAGGCTGGAATATGTTTATTAGTACAAACAATTGCTTTATATTACAGGTGTGAATGCCTGAATAGTTCCTTAAATGGGTTTTTTGGGTTTTAACACTATTTTGAAATTTTTAAAAGCATTTCAATTTTCGTTGTTTTAGTGGAGCCTCTTGCCCATAAAGATAACTGCCCCGAAAAAAACTTCACGTATCTTGATTGTCTGGATTAATCCGCAGATAGTTGATTGCTTGTCATTAACGTAGAAATCTGTACAACGTATAATGGCGTGAAAGTGTCGGATGTTTATAAGAATGTTTTAAATTCCTCCTTGGCAGTATTCACAGCATTCATTATGTTATGTATAAAAAACGGATTTAGTATTTAAATTACCGTCCATGCTGCATCTGGAATGTTTAACTTGCCTACAATTAAACATTTAGTATGCAACGCAGAGCTTCACTATTCTTCATGTTAAGCATGTCGTGTAATAAGATGCTACAACGAGTGTCTCTTGGCTGCATACGAAACAAAAACGCAAACTCTGAATCTCCATATAAAAAAGTGTAGATATTCAGCATAAACAAGCACGAATACAAAACTCTGGCCTTGAAGTTGGCTATTATCCTCATAGAAGGAGTGTTCATGTTCTCGCGCACTCTGGAAACAAGTGTCGCACGCTGTTGTTAGCATGCGCGTGACGGGAGTTTTTTAAGCATGTGATCTAATGCATACCGCTCTGGGTGGAGTTCCCTTATATATTGTTCCCGGCTGAAGGGCTTCTAATTACATTGATGATTGAACAGCCATGACACAAGTCCCTCTTTTAGTTGATGAAATGACGTGACAAAAATCTTATTTATACTTGCAAATAATGCTTATTTAATTTAAATCTTTTCATCGTTACTAATATTATAATGCAAACTATCTTTATATTTTATGCATAGTATAGTATAGTATAGTTGGCTGCGTGGGGCTGGTAAAATTTCCGAACATATACCCCGAATTTCACTTCTTCTTGTTCATGCGTTTTAGAACGGAAATAAATTAGTCACATATGCAGTTACGCACGACAGTTCCTTGCTCATCCATTCGCGCGGCATTTTAACGCCACATCTCGTCGGTTTTATCTACATTGTTAAATCGTCTAATTTTCCACGTTCTTTTCTCCTTAGATCCTGGCCCTGATCGCTATTGCTCTGCTGCGCCGCTACAACCTCGAGTTCGACAGGGGCAGTCTCCTGGGCGCCAATGATGACTACAGGGATCGCCAACTTACAGGCAAGCAGAATTATTCAATCAGAACAGCGTTATAAATTAACCAGCTAGTCATTATATAGTTGGGAGTTACGTCTAATAACTTTGATAGGATTCCATGAACAAACGAACAGCGTTTCCAACTGTGATGAGAAATTCTTTATGGTACCTCAATTGAACAGCTCCTGAAGAGATTCTAGTTCTAACGAAGACTGGACCTTTGCGTCAAACCAGTTTCTGTTGAATCACGTATTAGAACCATCTCAAGTGATGAAGTGGTTGTGGAAGTTTAAAAATGATTATTTTTGTGTAAAAAAATTCTCTTATTTTCTTGCTAGCTGATCATATAACTAGCAATGTTTATAATTTATGTTTTTAACATATATTTAATTTGACAAATCTTATAGATCAAAGTTATAGTCTAGACTCTAGAGGATTATCGTGTTCATCTTATTATGTATCATCAAGAGTTAAACATTATGACGGCTTCTGACGCATATGAAAAATTATTCAAGAAATACCAGTTTCTGTTATTTAATTTGGAATCCACCTTTATAAATTCATGTTAATGTATAGGCTGTTCGGTGTATACCCCGTCATCTCGCGCCATTGCAGCCGATTTGATTGCTGGTGGCTGGTGTTTTTCGAATATAATTCGAGATTTTCTCACTATTTCAGGAGTTACAATGCATGTGTCCAATATGTGAACGGAACATTAAAAAATAATGGATCTGAGTGTCGGACCAGTTTTAATGTTCTAAGATTCTGCGCCAGAATTCGGATTACCAAACTTGTTATCTTCTTCAATATTGTATTATCAATCTGTGAAATTTGCAAAACAGTGCAGTTGCAATGTGATAGCAAAACCACTTTTTAGCGCATTTTCTCACTTATGGAAAAAATGCACTATTGTGCTCGCCATGTCCGTCTGTCTGTCTGTTCGTCCGTCTGTCCGTCCGTCATTGACCTCAAGTTTTCGTCGACGAGAAAACGCGCTGTCTGTCACTCACTGCAGTGAGTACTGAGTTATATTTTTCATATTATTGCACCGTGTTCTTCTGTATTCAGTTTTGTCTAACAAAACAAAAACATGTCATGCAGGCACCATCGCCATCGGCGCGTCTCTGCTCATCTCCATTCCTCTGCTCGTGGGCTACGTTTTCTTCGACGCCGCCTCCAGCCTCCTGGTGCGTTGTCTGCCATAAATAAATCATCTTATTTCCTCTAAACTCTGATAAATGGATTAAAAATTCTGGGACAAGAGATTGTTTGGAATCGGCCTTTGCCTCAGTAGATTTCAAAAATCCGTTTTGATTATTTCGAAAGATAATAGATTTTCTAGTGGTAATGTTCTCAAAAAGTTTAAGCTTTTCCCAATATCTCAGTTCTGTACGCCCATAAGGATTATTTATAATTTTCTCCCTCATACACTTGAGAAAATTTTGCAATAAGTTTGTGCTTGGATGATGGGAAACGAAATTGAATATTTATAATGGATGTCTAGGATAGGTACAGCATGGTTACAAAGTGTCAATAATATTTCATGTTTCCGTTGTATCTTGATTGATTGTCTCAATTCGACACGTCACAATACGTTCATTTTTTCAATCTGGCAAGATATTAGGATACTTTTGAAATTATAGAAGGAAATCTAGCCTTATTCAAGAGTAGATGATACTTTTGGTCTTTTACCCTGGCCTAAGGTGGCTAGGGTAAAAAACCAAAAGTGTTATCTACTCTTGAATCAGGCTCCATTTCCTTCTATAATTTCAAAAAGTATCTTAAAATCTTGCCAGATAAAAAAAAAAACGCTGAATATTGCGTGTGAGCAGGAGGCGCTGTTCTGCTTCACGGCGTGCACGATGAACATCGCAGGCGGCGCCCTGGCTATTGAGACCTACAAGGATCTCAACCACAAGGACGAAGCCGTGCAGGCTGGGCTCGGCATGGGGGTAGGTTAATTGTGTGCATTTATAGATATAGATACTTTATATTTAGATAACCTAGGCATGGTAAGTGTGTGCATTTATACAATGACTTTATATATTAGATAACCTAGGCTTGGTATGAAATTCGCTTTCTAATGTTAATTGATATATAAAGGGATTTGTTACTATTGCGTGTCACCGTCACAAATTTATTTGTGACTTGTCACCGTTACAAAATACCTTACAAAATATTTAGAACATTTTTGGCTATGCCTCATGGTAGTTATGCGAATCCGTAAATTTATGAGGTAGTTTAGTGTGAAACGTCACAAGTATTGGTTTTTTAAATATCTATTCATCTTGCAAATTATCGTGATCGTTGACTTGAAATGAGCTAAATTCATCTTAAATAATAAACTGTCGTTTTTATTTTTCCGTTTATTTTTCATTCATGTGCAGTTATGAAAAAAGTTCAAGACCATCAATTACTTTTTTAGGAAAATCTTGTCTACATTGCATTTATGTTAAGGACGAATGTGTTCATGTTAACTCGGCCTGGACTCTTAACTGTCCCCGATTAGCCTGAAATTTAGGCTAACAATATTATTGCTTAAAAATTTTCAGATAATTAAATCTTCGATATGCAGCCATACTGTAATTAATTTGCTTTCAAATATCTATCATCTCTTTAATGTGAAATTTGTCAGTACCCTGATCATGCAACTAATTTAATTAGAAAAGTTCTCAGTTTAAAATGAACTCTTCCTTATCACAAAGCGTTAACTGCAGGTCCCGAAGTAAATTATTAACCACTAGGCAATAAGTCCAGCAGCTATCTCAATCAATCGTCAGCTAAAGAAAGATCGGGTTCCAAAGGCCGGATCCCTTGTGAATCAAGTCACGAAAAGTACAAGAATCGGCAACAGGCCATGGGCCTATGTCTTCAACGCCGACACTTCTATTCTATTCTATTCTATTATATTCTATTATATTCTAAATGTTTGAGGCTTCTATTCTATTTTTAACCAAGGTTTTCTTGCAGTCCATGATGATCCTGAACGCGCTGGCTTACCTCATCGACGGTGTCACGGGCTCCATCAGGTCGTCCAAGTGAACGCCTGCCGCCCTGCCGTGACTCGCCTGTAGCGGTGCACGCCTGTCGCGCTGCCGTGACTCGCCTGTCGCGCTGCCGTGACTCGCCTGTCGCCCTGCCGTGACTCGCCTGTCGCCCTGCCGTGACTCGCCTGTCGTGCTGCCGTGACTCGCCTGTCGCTTTGCCGTGACTCGCCTGTCGCTTTGCCGTGACTCGCCTATCGCTCGGCAGGCGCTATGACCAAACATCGCTTTACTATTATATATTTAATATCGGCTTACTTGTGCTGTAAGCTTTGGTTTGTTAAAATTTTATTGAACGTTGCTTTATGTGGTACATAAATCTTGCCAGTTCTTCCAATTATTTATTAATATGAAAGCTGGTTTAGGATTTAGCGTCGACCTGACGCCATTAAAATTTGCAGCGAGGTTGGTCATGTGAAAGAAGTTTATTTTAAAAAAAATTTAGCCCTTTAAAATTTACTTACAACTATAAATATTCTCAAGCGCCTATATCAATGTAGAAAAAATGTTTGCAGATGTATTTTTATTATGACTAAGCTAATCTGGGTGCTGAAAAACGAGTTCATCATAATCATGTCATGTCTTATGGAATATGTAACTCTTTCGGTGCAAAATTGTTTTTGAAAAACTATCAGAGAAGCAATGCTATAGTAGGAAACAACGTGTGACACCAGTGTTTGTACACGTGCAAGCACAAATGGGTTTATTATCTAATAAATTTAAAGTATTCCTAAAAAAATGCAGGAAGCGCCTGAATCCTGATAGTATCAGAATAGAGCATCTTATTGTTCGTATCGTTTATTTTAGAGGTAGCAAAATATTTGTCGTGTCCAGAATGTTTGTTTCCGTAGCATGTAAGACATACTAAAAGAAAACTGCAAAACTACCATAACAGGGAAAATAATAAAAAAATAATAGAATTTCAGAAAACTATGTATTAATGTAGATACGACGTGATATCAAAAATATACTTATTAGATGAAAAAATTAAATGAAACGAGTTATTAGATAACGTAATAAACTTCATCTTATCACATTATATCTTTCTAAAGTTTTTTGTAACGTCTAATGATTTTATCTCGCATTCTCGCATTCATTTGGAATGATATGCTTTAACATTCAAAAGGAACAAAATTTTATGACTTGGAAAATACGTCAAACATATGATTAATTTCATGTTTACATCAATGTCCAACATTGAAGCAAGCTAGTTTTAATGATTCAGTACCTATAATTTAATTTTAGATAAATAATGTGTTCGTCTCTTGCATTACTGTTCAAATTAAGTTAATAACAAAAAAATGATTGCAGCAACAATACTACAAACTTGATCACATGCATAATTAAAATATTTTCACATACTAACATAACTAAATACTGTTACTCATCAACGATAGTTTCACTTCAGAACAGCTCTTCTACCCACTACAATGTATACAACATTTATAATTCGATTTTCTATATTTTAAGAATTTGCTTAGCACTACAAGAAAGAGCAGAGTTCGAATCCTTGAATGAATTTCCTACTTAAAAATACTGATCATCGAGCGGGTGATATTCTGTCTTTCCAGAATGAAAATATAACTTGAGTTGTTTTTAAAATTTATAATTATCTACTTAAGACTTCAGACTTAACTGTATACTCTTCAAAATATCGACATCAAAGCACATATAACTTTTCTCAATAGATAATAAAAAACAATCGGTTATTATCTCCTACCCTTCAGCGCCCTAGTGGCAGATTTTGCGTTTATAATCGAGTGTGATTGAACCTTGATGATCTTTACTATGTTAAACGTATAACTGCGAAAACGATTGTGGTCTAGAAATGTCCACAGACGCATAACTTGCGAGCCATGAAATTCCGTCACACCGATGAAAGACTTTCGATTGAAATTATTATATATTTTAAAGAGTAGCTAAATATGGACAAGATACCTTCCTGTCATATTTGTAAGTGCATTGAGATTCAAGCTTATAGAAAGGAACAGACTCCGCTCAACACGATAAAGAACAACATTTTGAAATACAGTTTTCCCGCAGTCTGATATCGCGAATGACCTGCTTCTCGGATTTTTTATAATTAGTCACATCGCACATTATGGCTGTTTCACAAAAATCTGTGGAGGCTTTTGCTTTTTTTTTATGGTAAAATCTTAATTCGAAGTAATTTCTATACACAAGATTAAATAGGAACGTAATGGAAGATATGAGATTAGAGATGCTTGGAAAGTTGCTTATGAAGAAAGTATGGGATGAGAGTATGGGATAATAACACAAAATCAATATGTTTCTTAATCGGTAATAAGACAGAATATATGCACTGATCCAAATTTGGTAAGGTATTTGCTAATTTAGCCCTCGGGTGATAGAGGGGGGGGGGTGGAAGTAGCTGCCTCATAGGACCGTTTCAAGGGACCGTATCGTATCAACTCCGGAATCACCAACTGATATAAATAATGATTCTCGATATCACTTACAAAAAAATACTAAAACAAACTGATCGAAAACGAATATTCCTTTTGCATCTACTTTAGATATAAGGTCAGGGTGGCTTCCTTATGGAATACTTCCTACAAAACAAAATATGCCGTGCAGAGGACGTGGCAGGTGGAAGCTCGTGGCGCGGTGTGGTGTCCAGCCTACTTAGTGAGGGTCTTCATGATGTGTAAGCTGCTGCTGGAGTAGCTAGACCCAAAATGATTCCTGCAGAAAGAACTTGATCAGAAAATCGAGTATAGTGAAAATCGAGTATAGTGAAAATCGAGTAATAGTGAATTCGTCGTGAAAATCCTTAGAAACACTTTCGGCAATAATCCTCCTGTAGTGTTCACAGTGAAAAGTTACTCAAAAATTATTTTTTATTTAAATTTGTCTAGTTGCAGTCAAATTATAGAAAATAAACAATACCACCACAATTATGAACACATTCCTACTGTTATGTATACTACACTCCCTTTCACCAATTGCAAATTAAATTTATAAATCAATCACCTGGAATTAAATGTAGTTTCGTGCAACTACAAAGTTCAGCTTTCTCTGTTCAACAAATACATTTGAAATGATATGTACCTTTAATAAAATTAGACTGAAGCCAAAATTAGAAAATTTAGGGTTCAGTCTAATAAATAAAATAATAGAATAAACTTATTTTATTATAAATAAAATTAGACTGAACCCTATCACATTCACCAGTGATAAATAAAATCATAAAATAAATTTATTATATTATCAATTAAATTAGACTGAATAAAATTAAATTTATTATATTATCAATAAAATTAGACTGAACATTCACCAGTGATTGAGGTAATGGAAGAGCTGGTACAGCTGATGTCGGGACTCCCAGCCCGCAGCCTTGGGCAGCTTCTCGAAGTAAGAGGAAAAAAATTCTTTACTGAAGCCGCCAAACATCGCAGCTATGGCGAGGTCATACTCGTGGTGCCCATAGAAACTTGCAGGGTCAAACACAACTGCACGAGTAGGAGTTATTAAGTTACTTTCCATTTTAGTTAACATGCAAGATATTGAAGTCTTACTTTGATCAGCGACTTCAAAGGTCGCTAAGAATGACAAGAGAAGAGCGCACAAAAATAATTCGAAGAACAGAAACAAAAATTTAAAATCGTCTAAAGATATTTTCATACATAACCAGAGAGTGTTGCTTTATATATGAACAAGAGGCAGCCATTATAATAAAAATAAATAAATAATAAGCTTTTATTTGTAACGCTTAATCAAATCTGTTTATTGAAATTAAATGCGACTTTGAATTGTATTATATTTTATGACCAAAAAAGCTTTGTAGTTCGGGATTTTGAACTTCAAAGAGGTCTGTATGTAAAACCAGCATTTCCTTTGTACAAAGCTAAAATCGGAACAATGAAAAAAAAAATACAAAATATGGCAGCTATTTATTTACATATAACAAACAACTGAACTATGTAATTAACACGAAAAATTAAATGCAAAAAAAAAATCGACAGTTTACACAAGAAATATCCAGGTTACGCGAGCGAATGTAATGTTGTTGCAATAAATAAATAGCTAACCGGGTATGGAGGCCCCGTGCTCCTGAACGGTGGCCGCATTGCCGCCCCAGAGGTCGCCGTGTAGCAGCGACGGCGTCACGTCAGATGCGCCCTCAAAAAGACGAGGCACCTCACGCTGCAGTTGTGGCCACAGCTCCACTGCCTCTCCCACGCTCCTGCCGCTGCTCTGAACAACCATCTTCCTTCACATGAATGCTACGATGAACAATTATTTATACGTCAGGCTTGTATCACTTTTATTTTGATGAAAAAACAAAGAGATGAGTGACATTTCAAAAGGAGCGAAACATTGCAGTGATAATGCCTGTACAGTCAAATGCTTTGGTTCTCAGAAATAGCAAGACAATCGTGCATGTGAAAAACTGAGACACAAATGATACCTTATAAAGAAAGCTACCAACATCCAGAGCAGCATAAGTAGCTCTTACAAATAATGCACGGAATGTGAGATGCGTCTATCATATATATAAATAAAACGTCAATGAATAACCTATAAAATAAAATTTGACAAGTAAATTATATAAAAAAAACTCACTTCAGTCTGGAGTTTCTTGATTTGGAAGTCTAGTTTGCGGGCAAAGAAAACCTGGGGAAGGAATTGATACAGAGAATTAGGGTCAATCAATAGCATTTTCAATATTCAGAGAGCCAGAAACGGCAGCAACCTATATGATACTTCCGTAATTTATAACACTACAGCCAAAGTTTTTGATCACCCATACACATATGTTTGGCACATCAAGCAATAACTAACACTTGTTACTTATTTTTTTCATCTAAAAACTTATTTCATCTTCTCACTGACCAACTTTCCCACCACTTAAAATTATAGGAAGATAGAGCAATGCCATTTTACTGTGAAAGAACTTCCCCATTTAATAATACCGATCAACTTTAACTAAAAGCACGCAAACAATATGATGCCTATCTGATATTACGAGCATCACCTGCCAGTCATCGCACCATTCGTTGTCTTGAGGTATAAAGCCACAACATGTGGGCACGCTGAAACCAAAGCGCTTTTCATAAACAATATCAGTTCCGTCTCCAGCTTCTTCAGACGAGGCAGACATGCGCGATGCACCAGTCGGGTCACGGAGCTTCAGGTTGTGCAGGTGTAAGCTTAAGAACGAAACAGTGAATTAATTTAAACTCGTGATGATACATGATTAACAACGAAACAGTGATAAACTCGTGATGATACATGATTAACAACGAAACAGTAACAAACTCGTGTTGATACATACTATGATATAGGAAATAAAATTGCAGAAAATAATTATAACTTGTTTCTAGACAAATAACTTGACTGATTCATACATTGTTTACGATTTATAATTCTCTTAATAAAAATAAAATAAAAGCCAGAATTCTCAATTGAGCATTGAAATTGAAAATTCACATATGATCCTTTACTAACCCTCTTAATTCCTGTAAGAACAAATTTACCATTTACATGCTACGAGACCCAAAAACAATTTACTTACTATTTATTTTCAGCAGTAGAAGTGGTATTAAGTTAAGAAGAAGGTATCTATTTAATTTGGTATTTGGTATTTAATTAAGAAGAAGTAGGTATTAAATTACTCACTCACTCTGCCAGCTGTGAGCCCAGCTGAGCTCCTGCAGCACCTCCCTTCATATCCAGAGCTTCCATGACCAAAACCACGGTGCTGCTACAACTCTGTTGGGAAAGATTCGTGGTTACTAAATACGATCTTAAGAGGGTATGAGAAGAAACACGTTTTTCTCCCATAGCTGAACCCATAAAAATTACATGGCCTTCCTCCATAGGCAGCTAACAAGTAGTTATACAAATTTGAATATCAGCTGCACTACCCAAAAACTACTTATTCCAAAAAATGATGTTGCTTAGAGCTAGGTGAAGGATTTTTTTTTTGCAAGGATGCGTCATAGCATAGCATAGCAATCTCGGCATCAGATGTTAGGCTTCCACAGCCTGTTGCCGATTCTGTTGTGCCTGGTACTCGTTTCTTGGTCCATACTGACTGCTGATCCTTTGATCAGCTCTAATAAAGGTGGGAAGCTCGTCTACACTGTAGACAAGGTCCCGCATAACACTGTCCAGTCTGTTCTTAAAGGCATCGACGCTGGGAGCCTCCACCACCTGAGCTGGCAGTCTGTTCCACCTCTCCACCACACGCTGGGTGAAAAACCTAATAGTCTCCCCTTGCAAAATTCCAACGCTTAACACTGCTCTTCTTCTGATCTGTGTAACATTTAACCTCAAACAGCAGGGACTGATGATGACTCTTGCCCAGTGGTGCCTGATGTCTAACGTCTCCTATCATCGCTTCCTCACTAGTAAAAATCACTAGTCATGATAGACAAAAGTATGTATAGTCTGGAGTGGTATGGAGTAGAGTACCTATACTGCAACAAGTGCTGTCAATATAATTTCTATCATAAGTAATATTTGAATATCTCTAAAAAGGAAAAAAGGACAAGGATAATTATTCCTGAAACTAACATCTAAGACAAACATGTGACCTGCCAGTTGCTGTGCCACATTATGCAAGAAGCTGCATAACATGTTGATCAGAAATATGGTAATTATTTAGTTTGTCTCAATCCTTGTAGCCTTATCTCACTCAATAAGCCTTTATTTCACTTGATAAAACAGAAATTTCTCCCAATTAAATTTTCAGCCTAATAATATTGAAATTGTTTAAAAATATTGAAGTGAAAAATAAACAAGTGAGTACTGAAGTATGAGCAGAATGTCAGGAAATCTGAAACACTACATATTCAAAAAAATGTCTCTTGTTGGCTGGCTAGAATGAATGCTTGTTAGAATATGAAGACACTTCTTTTCAGATTTCCATTTATCACATCTGGTTTTAGTTACTTTGAACCTCAGTAACAAATTACATTGCTCTCTAGTTGGATAGCTCCCATTTTTACTTACTTAGTTAGTTTAGATTGATATTAGGATTAGGTACCTACATTCCATAATGAGCATATGTATTGATGGATACATAAAGTTTTAAATTTCTTTGACTGCTTGAGAAAATTATAATTCAAAATATAGATCTAATGACGCCATTCTTCCACTTTTCTCTTTTCTATCACACGATGAGTAAAAATCTAATAAAGAGAACATATCTTACCTTTTCATCCTCAACAAGGGCCAGGGGTTTGGGAACTCTTATAGTCTCAGTCTTGTGTATGGCACGCAGGCTCTCTAACTCCCCTTCAAACATCAATTTGGACTGCAAATCAAAAACATTTATCAACATTTTACACAAAATTAATAAACATTGAAAATAAGAAATTAATCAACGTTTAAAAATAAGTTAGCAAATTCAGGATATATTAACTACAGGAAAATTGCCTTAAAAGTCTCTCACTCAAACTCACTATCAACCAACTGATTATACAGCTTCTAACTTCTGCTTTTTAAAATATATAGAACATATAAAATTTCACTACATACACAAATAAAAAACACAGTTAACATAACTTTCAAGTATAAGTCTCTTAACTGTCTTGTAATCTTACAAACAGTGCAGTTGAATGTTTCTGACTTACCCCTTGTTTTGAATTTTGTTTGAGAAAAAGCTCTCCAATATTGGAATTATAAATGACACCTTCATTGATGCAACCTCCACCACCTTTCTTTGTTGGCTGCAAAAATGTCAAATCCAATGCAATCTCAATCTTCTTCAGAATATCTTTTGTCAGCATTGTAACTTTTATTAGTGTTGTTTTAGTTATAATGTATATAATTTCTGGAAGTCAGGTATTGATCATCAGACACTAAAAAGAATTAAAGTCACAATTTCAACATATACACATGATGCCACAATGTCTACATATACACTGCAATTTTGAAAAAAATAGCAAGTCACATAACTTTATGATACTAATTATGATTTTTACATTTAAATCATTTTTTATTTGTTGAAGTTCATTCTGTGATGAATGATTGAGGAATGTTTTACTCTTCTATTTACAGTACACACTGTTGCCGGGAGGCTTTTGTGGCTTATTTAGCACAGCCTATCTGTGCTTATTTATTAATTTATTTGTCTCTGGCCTTGCCTCTACCTTGCCTCAACGTCTTTGTCCTCTTCTGTATCAGTCTCTGTTACAGATATTCTTTAACTATAAAGCTGAATAAGCATTGGGCTGAGCCCAATGAATGAGCCCTGAGCCACTCAACTGTCTAACAAAGCGGTCTGACAATCCTGACCACTTGTGCTTGGCCATGCTGGTTAGTGGGTGTTCACCCTTGTTACCTTGTATATATATGTTTAGTCTGCATTTCTAATTTACTTGTGTTTTCTGTAAATAAGGCATTGGTTCTTAATTTATTATATGATTCTTTGATTCATTATGTTCAATACTGCATTTCTCATGATTCCTATTTTAAACAACTAGTCAGCACTCAGCACTACAGTGACTACACTACAACTACAGGCTACAACTGAAGAAACCTGCTGACTAACAACTGGGTAAACCATAAACCTACCAACTAAGTACACCTAAGTGTGCAAAATTTCAAATCAATTGGACAGGTAGAAGTGTGTTAGATATCAATTATAAGTTTGTAGCAGACAAACAGCAAGAAATGAAGTTAAAGAGAATTAGAGAAGTGCTGTAATGTAATGTAACAATATAAATTCCCGCGCACCTGGCAGGCTGGCACACCTTCCAGAGTTCTGACCATTGGGAGCCTGATTGATCTAATTCAATGGATGTGATCTGTCTGGTGGCTTGCGGCTGATCATACTACAGTCAAGAAGTGTTAAAAGCTATGTTCTTGAAGGGAGAGATCATGAAACTCCATTCAAAGCACAGCAATGGTCATGGTCTCTTTTTTTTTTTTTAATTGGAATTTATGGGAGCCTCTGATGACTTGTTCAATGCGGCCCCACATCAGAACAGTTCAAGAAATTTGACTGAATTTTGTTTTCAGGTACAAAATTGGGTGTCTTGAAAAAAAAAAACTCAAGATTTCTCAATGGCTGAAGGGTTGCAGAACGGGGCCACCAAAGTGGAGACCACACCGGGGCAGCCGGCAGAGAGCACCACTCCAGGCCGGAGCGGGACAGCATGGAATTTTCAAAGTTCGAGGAAGATAGTTCCAGAAAGATGACGTAGCAGCCGGGCGAAGCCGACTACTGTCACGGGAGCTCAGCACAAAGAACCTCTTGCCTCAACGGTTAGAACAGAACTCGGTCACGGTGGTGGTGGTTGCGGGTTGTAGGTGAAAAAGAAGTCGCACGTTGACCGCTTGTAACACCTGGACTCAGCAATAGTTATTTAGTTGAAGTCTTCAGCGTGTTTCTCTTAATTTCATTTCCTTCTTTGCTGGCATGAGCTCTCCTTGTTATCAACAATTCTCTTGTTTAGGGCAAATCACAGTTTAATCCAGTGCATTTTACCAGCTACATAGTAGATAATCGACCGGTTTGCATGAGGTATGTGGTGGTTGCTCTCATTATGTGGTGCTGGACTCTTCTGGGGTAGTTTCCTCCACCAAGGAGCACACGCACAGATGTGAGAGGGACTCCCAGGGCATGCACACTTGATATCATCACCTGTCTCTCATGATAGGCGCCAGGATCGATGAGATCGGCCGATTCTGCACATTGAACTGGTGCAGCCATGACACACGCACTTGTTAAAGTAAACAGAGAGATTTTTCAGTAAAACGTGGTAAAGGGAACAGTGAAAATTCCCTCGGTCACGGTCTCCACTCTCCATCTCTGACAGGCATCATGAATTCTCTGACGTCATTAGGCCTGGAAGAACCCATACGATCCGCTACTAATGAATAGAATAGAATTGTCGGTACTGAAGAAATAGACCCATAACCTGTTGCCGATTCTTGTACTTTTCGTTCTTCTTCTTCTTCTTTTCGGGGTGTCTACACTGGGTAGACTTAAAGCCACAGGTCGACCTCGAGGACGGCCGTTGGGCCTGTTGTGTACTATTCGGGACTTGATTCCACAAGGGATGCGAGGGATCTGAACCCGATCTTTCCATAACTGACGATGGTTTGAGATAGCTGCTGGACTTCTAGCCTGGAGCTACGTACGGCTTCTTGTACGTAGCTTCCCGCGCAAATGTTTTGATAATACCACCGCTAGAGTTACTTCTTCATATCAGCACTTACGCCACACGTAAGTCACTACGTGTACTTAGCGATGTTTTGATAATCCGGCCCCTGGTCCGTAGGGTGCTAGGCATTTCAAGACTGAACATATGCTCCTGCACAGCTTCGGCTAGTCTGTTCTTGAAGGCGTTCATACTCGGAGCGTTAACGATGGTATCAGGAAGGCTGCTCCACATGTCGGTGACTCGAAGCGAGAAGAAATGTTGTCGCATGGATGTGCTACAACGCAGTTTTTTAGTTTATAGCCGTGGCTCCTGGTGTTGGTTCTTGCTTCAAATTCTAGGACTCCTTGTGGGACCTTGTATAAACCTTGAGTATACTTGTATACTTCAATGAGGTCACCACGCAGACGTCGATAAAATGGCTTGGAAGCGTCATAATATTTCTGCATAAGGCTTGCCTTTTAATCCTGGAATTATCCGTGTTGCATGTCTTTGAACACTCTCGACTACATTTTTTGTCCTTTTCTAGCTTTGGTGACCACAAGGCGCTTCCAAACTCTAGGTTCGGACGCACGACAGCGATAAACAACAGTCTCGTCGCTTCAGCATCTAGTGATCATTCCTCGTAAGAGCGTCTGATCAGTCCAAGTCGTTTATTGGCTTTATTAACTTGAGCATCAATATGATAAGATCATTTCAACTCATTGTCGACATTAACTCCAAAGTCTTTTTCCATTGTCGACATTGCGACTTCGACATCATCACACTGTCGTTGCAACCATGTCTTCTTATACTGTAAACTTGCTGTTCATTGTTCTTGCCAAGTTGGATTACTTTACATTTATCAGCATTAAAACGCAGCTGAAATTTCAGACTTTAACTTTTCAATAAACCATAGTAAACAGAATGAGAGAAACGTGAATTTGCAAGCAAAGTTGCTAATTAATATTTCTATTAAATGTAAAAAATTATCATGTAGTCGCATATTGACTTCGTAATACTGAGTATGGCTAAATTTGAATGATAGTCTGCTTACGGCACCAATGTTTTGAGTTAAAAATGAAATACAAATATACAATAAAATAAAATACAAACACATATATACAATAAAAATACAAATATACAAGGAATAGCAATGAAATAAAAACAAGGATTAGCGAAAATCGGAGGACGAATGACGAAACCTGTTGACTAATTTTCGAACATTACGATGATCTTCAGTACAAAAATGTTCGTCCAGGAAGGTTCCGCATTTGCAATTAGCTGGTTTTGCTCGAGTTTGTTTAGGGACTACTAAATTTTAGATAACATGATTGTCAAAAAGAATTCGATAGCCTGTGAGCTACCTTCAATATAGGAGTTTACTTCAGTAACATGGATTCGGACAAAATTTTTTTGCCCCCCTCCTACGTAACCCGTTTACCTACAGCTCGGTCTCTACCTACAGCGACACCCTAACATTCGAAAGATTGCACCTTTATATTTATAATCTTCCCTAGGGGGGCAGGACAGATTGTTGAGGTGGGTAATGCCTATTGCTTGAACTATGCGGTGGGGGTCTGGGGGGCTACAGTTCGTTTCCCCGCTGGGGGTTGGACGTTTTTCAGAAGTGGCTACTTCGTCATAAGTCCCAGCCCGGGATTTGAACCCTCGACCTTCAGATCCATCTCACTAGCCCAAAACGACGCCTTTAACCACTACACCAAACTGTCCCAAGCGCCAGGAAGTGGAAACTTGTATTAGAATTGCGTAACGTCAGCTAATAAATTGCGGATTAGTTTCACATGTAGTGTAGCTACTCGTTAGCTCCCAAAGCGACGGTGCCCCAAAAGCATTATTTGAAAGATACAGCAATTGAAAAAGTATAAAAATTAATTAATCAACACGGAAAATTAAAATATAATTTTTAGTCTTTAGTTTTAGAGCTGGTGTTATTTTTTCACTTCCAACGACAGGAGGCCATCTTGGATTCCCCGTCCTGGACGCTCATGACTCGCCTCCTCAGCATGTGGGGTCAAGCAACCAGCCCAAACCCGCCACCCCTACGCCCCCCACCCCGAGCTTGTAACTTGGTTACCAAACATTAAAGGAATCTTAGGAAGTATTTCCGATGAGTAGGAGGCGTTCTGGAGGCTGTTGTTTGCAATTTGTTTACAAGAGTCTTTTAGGCCTAAAACCATCAACCTTACGCACCTCTGGCAAGCGCTTCATGTGCTAGCTGAGCAAATACTGATAACCTGTAATAATGGCTTCCGTGTGTTAATGTAAGGGCAATTGCCAGCCGTCAATCAAATTGTTACATTTTAAAGAACACTTGAAGAATAAAAATATTCGAACATAGTAAATCTTAAGTGAGCTATCTCTGAAAATACCAGTAAATCATAAAAAATTAACTATTTGCAGGAGTTAAACAATCTACATGTTAATATAGAATATTCCTTTCCTCATATGTCATGAAATTCCTTGGTACGCTAGTCCTAAAGTCTACGGAATTTGCTCCTGAAATTTAACTACAAAATCTGATCTCGTCTGCTAGACAACTATATGGTGTTTGTTGCAAGACTTCCTTATAAGATTTGAATAACATCAGAATAAATGTGGAAAATATTGTAGCCAAGTTCAAGCCAAGTAAATTTCTTCACTAATTTCTAGACGAGAATGATAAAATGCTAAATTAAAAGAAATTGTACAGCATAAACGGCAATGACTGACATCTTTCATAGCTGTTTTTATCATCCTCGCTCAGTCCCCTATTCTCAAATTAAAAAAAAAAAAGAAATCAATGGATCATAATACTATGCATTTCATTTATTTTTCCGGTGATTACCGTAATCCTACATCACTCAACTTATATAATAAATGTTCGATCGATGCATAATTCAAATAACGACAAATAATTATTGATTGCATCAAAGTTAGAAAAGTTCATATGTACAAATTAATATATAGAACAAATCAATTCGTAAATTACCATCAACCAATTTTTTTTTATTTTTGAATGATTTACGTTACTTATTTTAGTAGTCAAAAACACATCCTATAATTTTAACACATTCAGTATAATATTCCGATGTTCAATTCACACATAATAACGGTGTCGCCATATTGAAATATTATGTTTAAACGTGTATTGATTTAACATTCACTAAAAAATAAAGTCACAGAGAAATTAGACTTTAAGTTTCTTTGCTGAAAAAACGCTTGACGATAATTTGCGCGGAATAATCATTCAAATACATACGTTTTAACAGTGTCCAGAAACTTTATGGCAGGCTATCCACAAATTTCACAACTTTGCACTTTTGAGATAACGAAGCGTTGTTTATAAGTAGCAAAACATGTCCGTCCCGATGCATGTACTCGTAACAAGGTCAATAAAATGTAACATGGATGAAAAAAAGCCCACGGACCGATAGCGACTGATGCGACGACTGATATTTTAACGACATAGACAGATATTTTGAAGATCTTTCTACACCAAGCTCTTCTATAACTTTTATCTGTTGTGTTGCATTAAAAAACACAATTCTTGATGACAGGATCGAATCAAGATTTGTAAGATGTTAGACCCAGAGCAGGACCATTGTTCCACCATTCTGTGCATCTTCGTGGCATACGCGCGCGACCAAACAATAAACTCCTGACAAAGCATGCAGAAATTTTCATTAGAGGAGGAACCCTTGGAGTTGACGGCAGCCTCGTCAATAACATATGTGAATCTGAAGCATTAATTAATGGCTGAAAAAACGTTTGATAATGGATCTTAACCTCTCACTGGCAGTCCTAATAAAAATCATATGATAATAAAAATAACAGTTTCAGCGTTTATTAGGCCGTAGGCCTGTCACCGAATCTTAACATCGCAGATCATTCACAGTTTAATGATGTCTCGAACACGCAACTCACTGCTGCAATGCTGCTGTGCTTAACCGCCCGGCCTCCTTGCCGATTCTGGGAATCGAACCCATTTCAAGCAAGGCACAAAGTTAGCTGGGACGTTGGAACGAAATGCTCGATGCGGTAAAAAGTAATCAAAAACAAAATTCGCGAATCGTAGCAGAAAGTATGCCGAGCTGGTGCAAATTATTGCCACACATTTTATAAAGCATGAAAATTTAATTACGAAAAGAAATCTTGCAAGGCAGCATACATAAATTCAAAGATATCAAGATTTTCAAAGTACTGATTATTAGGAGCTTATTATCAAGCCGGGTATTAAATGAAAACGAACAGGATTTAGCACCTCATCGCTGCTTAGTCCGTGCCTACAAATATAAGATGACGTGCCTGAATTACAAAATCCGTCGGTAAATCGCTGGTGAAGTGCTGGTTCTTGGGGCTGGTCCACACCCACGCAGAGGTTGATTGCCGAGGCCAAGGCATTGGCAGCAGACGGAGTGGGAACCATGGAGCCAGGTAGAACGATCGTAGCTCGGACGACTCCAAAACTAGCTGGTGCCTACGCTCCTCGCGTCCAAAGGTCCTGACCGTGATCAGGCTAAGCTTCCATGAAAGTCTTTACTCTACGAGTATACAAAGATAAACCGGGGCCGAAGATTATTTAAAAGTTAGTCCGTACAATGTCTTGAAGTGTCGACAAATA